ATATAGGTATATACTAAGTTTCAGTCTTTCTAGTGTTAAACAAATCTGTTTAAATTTTTATATAGGGAATGAGATCACGTGTGAATATATGTATGAAAGTCTGATTGAAAAATTCTGAAAAGTTTGGTATTGGTTTTTAAATAAAGATCTTGTAGCAGGCTGCAATTGGTGGTGGTCGTCGCAGATCAGATAAGAAACGACAAGGTCCTCCGTCGCGCTGACCTTTTTATCCTCCGGGTCGTCGATTATCCTTTGAGGGAACGTCTTTGCCGGTCGACGTCAGCCAAATTCTCGGGAGGACAAAAGCCGGTTTGGCCTCGCGCTCAAGTCTTAAAGGCTGACTCTTTCTTTGATCCTAAAAGTTTTCCGAAACTTTGCAACGCATCTTAAGCTGTATTAAGGCCCGGGTTTCATTACGTAAATTCAGTTGCACCGGTAGGTAGGCCAACCGCGTAAACGGGACTCTGAAAGACGATTTGCCGACCGACTTGCGTGGCTCGCGTCTTCATCAATTCGATTCCGTCGCGCTGGTTTATTGCCGACTGTGTCCATCTCGTCGATTCTATTCCCGAGGAGGGAATCCTTTGAGCGCCGTCCGCTGCCCGAGCAGAATGAGCACCATTACCTCGTCCCAAAGGACCCATCCACGTTCGCCTTTTCTTTTCCCATCTTGAATTTTTTCACCCCACGTTTCGCAGTGTTCCGACGTTGATCAATCTTTGACGTGTTCTGCTTTCAGAATATCAGTAATATTCCGCGTGAAGTCGGCCAAGGCGGTGAAAATCACGGACGCCAGTCTGCTGAAGCGTCTAGGAGTGATCGTAATGATATTCAGCGTGTTCCTGAGCATCCGCACCCTGGTGGCACCGCCGGTGGTGATAGTGGCACGCACGGCCGACGACCTCAAGGCTTATCTGTGCCGGACCGACTGGTGGGATCACAGTTTCACGACGCGTGAGTGATTTTCCAAATACCTCACTCGATATACCCTTCGATAACCGTTTCTTTACGCTCGTTACTGCGGCTCGATTCCGCCGATTATAATCACGAGTGTAAGAGTAAGCTATAGACTTTGTTCAATATTCAAGATATCGCAGACTTTATTCCCCAAATATAACTTGTATGCTGTTGCACGTTCGGACGTGTAAGATTAATCGGTAATCTAACTATAATATGAAGAGGGTGGCGAACGGTTTAAATAAAACTCGTGGGCGAATCGTCAAATATCGCATTTATTCACAACGTCTCAATACTAGGACGGCTGTACCAAGAGTGCCTCTTTGGCCAGACTTTTCGGTTGTCGTAGGACCTCCCCCATCGCCAGTATGACCTTCGTTCTACGTTTTATGGGTCTTCGTCAAGTTGCGTACCCTTAAAAGGTTTGCGTCGTTGGACGCAGTCACCCCCGGACCCCCACTCTACTATGCGTTTTCGAATTTTCTTACAGACGTTCGCAAGGAACTATGCCTGCTTCGACTCGTCGCTTTCCCAACGTCCTTTTTTAGGGGTGGAAATATGTTGTGGCTTTATCGGTCTGGCCCAAACAATGTGGCCCGGGACTCGGGCATCTGGTTTCTATCAGGCAGGTCTCTTCCTACGCAATTGAACTCTTGACTTCGCTTACACGAGGTCAGCGCTGAACGGATCGGGTTTGGTGCTTAGAAAGAGTTCCGTCGATCCGTCGGAGCTGAATCAGTCATCAATGAATCAGTCTCGAACGATCGATGCAGTTTGATAGCTGCTCGATAAAGATATCTTTGTAACCACGATGGATCTTGTTTTGAACCCGTGTTCATATTGGCCGAGAAGTTGCCGTCTCTGGTAGCGGCATCAAAGGAAGCCAGAAATTCTGCGGCTAAGTCGCGGTCGAAAGGGATACACGGATAAAGAGCGAAGGGGCGAGAGAGGTTTCTTGGAAAGCTGGCAGCACGAGTTCCCAAGAAACCTTCTTTTATCCTCGTGAACATTCCTAACGCGTTCCGCCGTACGGACGGGTGGAACGTAAAAGGGAATGGATATAAATCTGCCTCGCGTTCAGGAATTATTCGACGCATCACCGAGAATCTCTGAATCCGCGTGTTTTCCTAAATATTCTTGAGTGCATTCAGAAAATATTTAGATACAGTCGGAAGCGTTTCCGGACTCTCGCGTTCACTCATCAGTCTCTCTCTCTCTCTCTCTTTTCGCATTATCTTTTTATTAACTCTGTAAATATCATTATTTGTACTCTGCTCTTATCTATAATTTGTACAACATGATGTACAGTGATAAAATAATCTAATCTAATCTAATCTAATGTAGTGGGTCTTATTCGTAGAAATCAAAATGATTTATCTTTGGTTTAAGAGATTCTTTATTCGTAATAAAGTAAAGTGCTGACGAATGCTTATTAACTGTTTGGCAATCTGGTCCAGGTCCGATTCGATAATTCGGGCTAGGAATGTTCGATTCCGACTCGATTCTTTAAAAAATCGATACTTTTGTTTAAAAAATCGATCTTTCAAATCGATTTTGTAAGATTCAATTTAAAATAAAATCTACTTTAAAATAAAAGACATGGTGAACAGTTTAAAAAAAACCAGGTATTAAAACATACAATAATCATCAAGCGTTTATTCTCAATAACTTGACACTAAGACAGCTGTACGAAGAGTGCCTCTTTGGCCAAACCTTGTGATTGTCCTAGGACCTCCCCCATCGCCAGTATGACCTTCGTTCTATATTTTATAGGCATTTGTCAAAGAATTTCCTTACAATTCTCTCCAAAATTAATATTCGAGAATCGATTCTTTACAGAGAATCGAACATCCTTAATTCGGGCTTCTTCCCCATCGAGAGCCATTCGTTGTTTAGGTCAGCCCTCCCCATATTTCAGAGAAATGATCCTGTCAGGTCTTTTCTCACCGAAATGGTTCCTCACATTAATCTCTCTTTCTCTTTCTCTTAATCCAGTTTATGAAATTAATGAATGAAAATGACTAATGAAGATTGAGAATTCTTCGAATGTTTGCTGGGTGGTTGAGAAAATTTGTTAGCAGAGCTCAAAGGATTGAAGCCTGTATTTATGGCACCTCCTGCGCGTCTTTCAATGGAGCTCCTCCAGTTTCAAAGCATTTATACGCGGAACTCGCAGTATATCCATCCCGGATTGATTTACACCGGGGAATAATTGGTTTAAAGATGGTCCATTGGGAATTTTGACGGAGGGCCGCCTATTCGGTGAACGATCAATTTATTTAACCGCCGATAACCGTACGTCTCCGTGTTTTCGCTCGGATCGCATAAAAATGTAGATTTTTCCTCAAAGAAATATCGCTCGGTCTCATTGGATAAAAGTTAAGGTGATCGAGCGGCGGGAATAAAGCCAGGCGTTTTAACGAATAGAACCTCTCCGGCACTCTGGCCGCGATCCAAGCGTCGCGAATCTATGCACAGAATTTTCGGTATTTTCAAATGAGAATTCTTATTGTTACAATAATTTCCGAAGTCGTTCGTTCCAATTCATTAGCATGATCGATTGGCCGAAATCTCGTGAGTAAAAAGCTCGCCGATGTTAATGGATGTTTGCGTAGATACGGTAAACGGACTCGCGTTTCATTTCCGTTAAATTACTCATTAGAATTTAGCAGCCGTTGAAACATTGCTATCGATCCGGTAAATATTGAAGGGGTAATAGTTTTAATTGAAGTATCGATTCGATGAATTTAATCAGCGACCAGGGATTCCGGGATATCTTGTTTAATCCTCCTAGTCGGATCGGATTCAACTGATTCGGAGATTAGTCGGAAGAAAAGTGGATGGGTTAATTAAATTATGCGATTGATATATATCCGTCCCTCGAGCGTTCCATCAAATTTTTATAAGAATTTAATGTTCAGGTTGTTTAATAAAATTAAAATACGTGCAATAGTAGAAAAATAAATTTCGAGATAAACTAGAATATAGATTATTCAACTTTGCACACTGGCAGTGTTCCGTTCCGATTAAACAAACTGTGATGCCCGGTTGTGGTTCACTTCTCGAAGTTAAAACCAGAATTTAGGGTATCACTCAAAGGTTAATAATTAAGGATCAACGTTGCGTGGAAAGACTGAACTTTATTACAAATGTAGTGAATATTATGAGACCAAAACTAAGACTGCCTCAGGACGAGAGGGTAGGGCTATTTAAGGGTTTGGGAGAAATGACCTTTGGATATGAAGAAGTGGTGGGAAAAGTTTGGAAGATGACAAGGTTCAGAATGAGTAATAGTGATTTTGGTGACTGGCTATTGATTTAGATAAAGGATGAGACAGCTTAGGTACATGTTTTCGGATGAGACATCTTTAGATACATGTTTATGGATGATACATATTTACGGATGAGACATAGATAACATAAAAATATGTACGTGTATAACAGT